CTGAACCCGTGGCAGGAGGCGCCCCCACTGCGCCTGATGTTGTGGGTGCCGGTGTGGCTAGGCTCTGAACCTGTCCCTCCAGGTGTTTGTATCCTTCCAGTGTTTTTACAGCTCATGTGAGTGCCGCCAAATGTTGGCACATCTTTTCCCAGGGTGAGGGTCCTCCTCCAGACTCTGTCATGGCCGTATGGTTCTTTTAGGTACCTACCGGTGGTAGCCTCTAGCGTTCCACAGGCCGGAATCCCCCAAGGCGCGGAATCTAAGTCCCAACCTGCTTGTTCACCAGAGCTAGACAAACATAACCAGCGCTCCAGTCTTCATACAACCAAGAAGATGCCAAAATGCCAACCGAAGAGTTGCAGCCCTTCTAAGATCGGGAAATCTGAGCACTAGTAGAAAAGAACAGACAAGGACGCACTCTCATCGTGCATTTCCGTGGTAAAACACGTATTTATTGAAAAAAAAAGAAGATATATACTCACAAACCATATATAAAAGCAATACTACTTTCTACTTGTTCACCAGGGCCCCTGATGGTGGGGATGGACTTGGAGCAGGCCAAGACCAGGTTGCGGCCCCTGGGTTCACCCAGCTGCGGTAGAAGCACCACTGGAGGTGTATAGATGGTGAGAGCCTGATGTGAGGATGTAACGAACAGCGTCGGGCAGGCCGGGTCGGTAACAGTAGAGGCAGAGTGGTACAAAATCAGCAGGCAGGAGGATAAGCAGGTCACAAGCCAGGTTCAGTAACAGGAGATCAGCACGTGCAGGGTTAAGCAGGAGATTGGTCAGACAAGCCAGGGATCAGGACAGGAGACAGACAGCAAATCAGGGTCAGCAACAAGACAATCTACAACACAGGAACTCAGGATACAGGTAAGACCATAGACACAGCCCTGACCTGTTTTAAATAGGGTGCCCTGCAGCCTGATTGGTGCCAGGCGTGCGAGTGCACAAGCGCGGCTGCAATTGCGGGTTCCCAGGTCCCAATACTCGCACGCTAGTGCGGCTGGGCACACCACGCACCCGTGCGCGATCACGGCCAGCTCTGGGGTCCCTGACACCGACATCGTAATTCCCCCAGGGGATGTACAGTATCTCACAGAAGTGAGTCCCCCTGACATTTTTGAAAATATTTTATTATATCTTTTCATGTGACAACACTGAAGAAATTACACTTTGTTACAATGTGACAAGGTCCAAATTGGGCCCAATTAGCCATTTTCCCTCCAGGGTGTCATGTGACTTGTTAGTGTTACAAGGTCTCAGGTGTGAATGGAGAGTGGGTGGGTTACATTTGGTGTTATCGTTCTCACTCTCTCATACTGGTCACTGGAAGTTCAACATGGCACCTCATGGCAAAGAACTCTGAGGATCTGAAAAAAATAATTGTTGCTCTACAAAGAGATGGCCTAGGCTATAAGAAGATTGCTGAGACCCTTAAACTGAGCTGCAGTACGGAGGCCAAGACCATACAGCGGTGTAAAAGGACAGGTTCCTCTCAGAACAGGCCTTGCCATGGTTGACCAAAGAAGTTGAGTGCAGAGTCATATCCAGAGGTTGTCTTTGGGAAATAGACATATGAGTGCTGCCAGCATTGCTGCAGAGTTTGAAGGGGTGGGGGGGGGGGTCAGCCTGTCAGTGCTCAGACCATACGCCACACACTGCGTCACATTGGTCTGCATGGCTGTCGTCCCAGAAGGAAGCCTCTTCTAAAGATAATGCACAAGAAAGCCCGCAGTTTACTGGAGACAAGCAGACTAAGGACATGGATTACTGGAACCATGCCCTGTGGTCTGATGACACCAAGATAAACTGATTTGGTTTGGATGGTGTCAGGCGTGTGTGGCGGCAACCAGGTGAGGAGTACAAAGATAAGCTTGTCTTGCCTACAGTCAAGCATGATGGTAGGAGTGTCATGGTCTGAGGCTGAATGAGTGCTGCCGGCAATGGGGAGCTACAGTTCATTGAGGGTACCATGGGTGCCAACATGTACAATGACATACTGAAGCAGAGCATGATCCCCTTCCTTCAGAGACTGGGCCGCAGGGCAGTATTTCAACATAACGACCCCAAACACACCTCCAAGACCACCACTGCCTTGCTAAAGAAGCTGAGGGTAAAGGTGATGGACTGGCGAAGCATGTCTCCAGACCTAAACCCTATTGAGCATCTGTGGGGCATCCTCAAATGGAAGGTGGAGGAGCGCAAGGTCTCGAACATCCACCAGCTCCGTGATTATCGAGTTTATATAGCGCCAAAGGGTTTGCTCAGCGCTGTACAATAGAGGGGGGGACAATACATGAAACAGTACAGTAACATCAAACAGCACACAAGGGGTAAGAGGGCCCTACTCTTTCGAGCTTACAATCTAGGAGGGAGGGGGGTAGAGGTATAGGAGGAAATGGCTGTGGGGGGATGGAGTGGAAGGAGGAGGGAAGGGCAGCGGGTTAGGTGAGGGTGGGGTAGGCTTCCCTGAAGAGGTGGGTTTTCAGGGAGCGCCTGAAGGTGAGGAGGGAAGGTGACAGTCTGATGGGTTGGGGTAGTGAGTTCCAGAGGATGGGGGAGGACCTGGAGAAGTCTTGCAGTCGTGCGTGGGAGGAGGAGACCAGGGAGCAAGATAGAAGGAGGTCCTGTGAAGAGCGAAGGGTACGGGTAGGGTGGTACCTGGGAATCAGGTCGGTGAGGTAGTTAGGGGCAGTGTTGTGAATGGCTTTATAGGTCAGAGTGAGCAGTTTGAATTTAATGCGTTGGGCAATGGGGAGCCAGTGGAGGGAGAGGCAGAGGGGGGTGGCAGAGGTGGAGCGGCTGGTGAGGTGGATGAGTCTGGCAGCTGAGTTCAGGATGGTCTGAAGCGGGGAGAGTTTGCACTGGGGTAGGCCGGTGAGGAGGGAGTTGCAGTAGTCAAGGCGTGAGATAATCAGGGAGTGAACGAGTAGTTTAGTGGGTGTCTGGGGTAAGGAAGGAGCGTATCTTGGAGATGTTCCGGAGGTGGAGCCTGCATGAGTTTGTGAGAGATTTGATATGAGGTTGAAAGGAAAGGTTTGAGTCCAGAATGACGCCAAGGACCTTGGCTTGCGGGGCGGGATTGATGGTGGTGTTGTTGGTAGTGATGGAAAGGATGGGGGGGGGGGCACGGGAAGGGGAAAGACGAGAAGCTCGGTTTTGGAGAGGTTGAGTTTGAGGAAATGGAGCGACATCCAGTCAGAGATGTCGTTTAGGAGGTGAGTGATGCGGGCGGAGAATGTGGGGGTGAGGTGAGGGGTGGATAGGTAGATTTGAGTATCATCAGCATAGAGGTGGTAGTTGAAGCCGTGGGAGTGTATGAGTTTGCCAAGGGAGGAGGTGTAGATGGAGAAGAGAAGGGGTCCAAGGACAGAGCCCTGGGGGACCCCAACAGAGAGGGGGAGGGAAGAGGAGGTGGCGCCGTTGTAGCAAAACGCTGAAGGAGCGTTGGGATAGGTAGGAGGAGACCAGGAGAGAGCGGTGTTGTCTCTGATGCCAAGGGAGAGTAGTTTATTAAGGAGGAGGGGGGTGGTCGACTGTGTCAAAGGCCGCAGAGAGGTCTAGGAGAAGGAGGACAGAGTAGTCGCCTTTGGCTTTGGCGGTTAGTAGATCGTTGGTGATTTTGAGGAGGGCAGTTTCGGTGGAGTGTAGGGGACGGAAGCCGGACTGTAGTGGGTCAAGGAGGTTGTTGTCAGTTAGGTGGGCGCTTAGGCGATCGTAGACCAAGCGCTCAAGGGGATAGGGTCCAGGGGGCAGGTAGTGAGGCGGGCTTCTGAGAAGACTCTGGTGATATTGTCATGGAGAAGTGGAAAAGGACTCCAGTGGAAACCTGTGAAGCTCTGGTGACCTCCATTGCTAAGAGGGTTAAGGCAGTGCTGGAAAATAATGGTGGCCACAAAAAAATATTGACACTTTGGGCCCAATTTGGACATTTTCACTTAGGGGTGGACTCACTTTTTTTGCCAGCGGTTTAGACATTAATGACGGTGTGTTGAGTTATTTTGAGGGGACAGCAAATTTCCATGTTATGAGGGGTGGACTCACTTCTGTGAGATACTGTATGTCTCTGGCAGATCTGGCTGGATATTTGGGTCTTGCTCCCCCCAGGTAATTCTTCAGAGACCTTTACAGGTTTAACTTTTTTAGCCGCAAAAAAAAAAGGACCGAGCCAGTTCCATCCTACTAAATGGTAACTACTTTACAGACCAATACTTGGGGTAGACACGGGCCTCATTGATTGGTGTCAGCTATCTATGTATGTACTGGGGGGAGTTACTTGCCGTGTACAGCTGAATTGTTCTAGGTTGTTTCTTCTTTTCTCTGTTCATTTGTTTATAAAAGGTAAAAGTGACACCATAGACAAAGCAAGTTATTGTTCTGTATGATCTGTAACAGTGCCACAACTGCCTATACGTGAGAATGTATGACTCCATTGTCTGGCTGAATGTTGGGAATACTGTGCGCACTTAGAAACTTTCTTAATAAAATCTATTTGATTAAAAAATGATATATTGCTGTACATATTCTTTCTATGCATAAGATACATTTTTAATAATTAACAGAACCTTTATTTAGTCCTTTATATAGAATTCTGATATTTATTTTTTTTTATGCAGGTGGATGGATGAACCAAGTTTTCGGTCATGTTGGTCTTCCTAAATACAACTAAGTCACATGGAAACAAGACATATGGTTGTCCTAATTGACTGAAAGTCTTTATTGCAGTTCACTGGAGGATTCACACGGGATACAAGTCATATCCACGTTCTAAAAGTCATAAAGGTTTTGGATCCTCTTCAACATTGATCCAGCCTCAGAGGACAAGAGAGAAGTCATTTCAGTGTTCTGGAAGTGACAATGGCTTTACAATAAAGTCCAACCCAAGTATACATAAGAGAAGTCATTTCAAACTATTTCTTGTTTTGAACGTTTTACAATGGAGGCAAAACACACACTGGAGAGAAGCCATATCAATGTTCTGAATGTGGCAAAGAGTTTACACAGAAGTCATATCTTATCACACACCAGAGGATTCACACTGGAGGGAAGCCACATCAGTGTTCTGAATGTGACAAAGCTTTTACAAGGAAGTCACAACTTATCAGACACCAGAGGTTCACACTGGAGAGAAGCCATATCAGTGTTCTGAATGTGATAAAGCTTTTACACAGAATTCAAGTCTTATTAAACACCAGATGATTCACGTTAGAGAGAAGCCATATCAGTGTTCTGAATATAATACAGCTTTTACACAGAAATCACATCTTCTCATACACCAGAGGATTCACACTGGAGAGAAGCCATATCCGTGTTCTGAATGTGACAAAGCTTTTACAAAGAAGTCACATCTTATCACACACCAGAGGGTTCACACTGGAGAGAAGCCATATCAGTGTTCTGAATGTCACAAAGCTTTTACAAAGAAGTCACATCTTATCGCACACCAGAGGATTCACACTGGAGAGAAGCCATATCATGTTCAGAATGTGACAAACACCAGAGGATCTTTCACACAGAGGGTTCAGAGAAGCCATATCAGTGTTCTGAATGTGACAAAGCTTTTACACAGAAGTCACATCTTATCACACACCAGAGGATTCACACTGGAGAGAAGCCATATCAGTGTTCTGAATGTGCAAAGCTTTTACAGAGAAGTCACATCTTATCACACACCAGAGGATTCACACTGGAGAGAAGCCATATCAGTGTTCTGAATGTAGCAAAGCTTTTACAGTGAAGTCAAATCTTATCACACACCAGAGGATTCACACTGGAGAGAAGCCATTTTAATGCTGACATGCTGAATGGGACAAAGCTTTTACAGTTAATGCTGAGCTAATCTATCATCAGAGGATTCACAAATTTTCAGCTGCAGAGAAGAAGAAAAGGGATATTAAAGTAGTGTCCAGTGTCCCATTAGTTTCACAGCCCCAATGTCACCCCACAAGCTAGAGAAGAAGTGAAAAGTTAAAATGTTACTCTAAAAAACAAACTGGAATGTAATGACTGAGTGCATTGTGTTTAGTGATTATGTCCATCAGAAACACAACTAGAAGGTCTGTGAATATTTTACCTTTTGACATTTTTTTAGATAAGCACCAATGACTGAACTGTTTCCCTCTTGGTTCTCATCTTTATTTTATAAGGAGCTTTGACTAAACATGTAATGCATTTTCATCATTCACCAACTGAGATGTGTTCCCAAGTGTTTTCTTCATTGCCAGATCCTGAGCTACTACATGACCAACACTGCCTCAGTACCTGAGACTAGGATGGGGTCCAATTGTATCTTACCAAGCCTCTGAAGCCTCAGTGGGAGAGTCCATTCCAGGTTCTTCTGACTATTGATATATCATCATCAGCCAGGGTTAAGGGCTCCAGCTAAGTCCACCTTCTCCACACCTCTCATTACATGTTCCACCTCCTCTCCCATGATCAATGCTTCCTTTCCATGTTTCATCTCCTCTCATAGATGACAGTTTTGCAGGCAGGTCTGTAGCTTGAACACCCAAGATGAAGTCTCTGGTCAGTGAAAAAGAAACTCCCTAAGCGGCCAGGCTTCCAACACTGATTTTCTGCTGTTTATGGGATGCATTCAACAGTACCATTTAAGTTCAGCTGCCCACTTGTGTTCCATCTGGTTTTGCTGAAAGTCTCAGGGATACCATCAGGTGAATGGATGTCTTGTTGTCTTCTTCCTCTGTCCAGATATTACTCATCTCCTTAGAATATTCACACAGCACAACTGCAAGAGATCTGAACTTACAAAGTTCTAGTGTGCGGTCATATTCCTGCCACTTCTGGGGACTGAAACTCCTCCAATTGGGGTTCAATTTCATGTCTATGAAAGGACAGGTCTCTCTTTGGGGTAAAGTTTGCAAAGAAACTCTTGTCTCTGGAAAACGTTAGGACATTGGCACTACCATGGACAAAATCAATCATTACATAAATGGTGCAATCTGTCATTAGCACAGCAGTTTTTGTTTTTCGAGTCTCCCCTTGTAACATTTTTAGTTGATTTTCCCAGTAGATGTTTTTTTTTTCTACTTCCTGTAGAAGGCCAAGTCTTTTGGCAAAAAAATGGCAGTTGGAGGGGTTGGGGCAAATCCTATAACACTGCTGGGGGTGCTCACAACTGTCAGTTGTCATTCATATGGGGGTTGGACCTTATAAGAACCTGTTGCTGTAACTGCTGTAGAAGCGTTAGCTGAAGTTGGGCTTTACTTGTTGTGTGTCTTACTTATAATCTATCTAAGACTTCCCTGTACAGGGTGACAACGCTGCTGTGTAATGTTCCTGCAGAATGATCAGGGTTGTCACCCTGTTACAGAAGGTGGGAAAATAACAGATCTACAGACAGGACCAACAGCTGATACAACTATGTTGCAGAGGGAACTCTGGGAATGCTAATGACAGATTGCATTACACATTCAGTTAGCAGACTTCCTGCTGTTGGTCTGATGTTTGAATTGTGTTCTGATATTTACTGTCCTGCTGTAAAAGGTGTAAATGATCGCCCGCATGTTTCCTGTAGTAGCAGGGACTACAAACTCATATCAGGAATAGTAGGATGGCTACCTACCCAAGGGGGGGGGGTCACCTTTTTGGATTTGGGGGAAACATTTCACATGGTTTCTTTCCATTAATGACACCGACAAGGGGAGTCTCACTTCACTAACAATAGGAGAGCCAATCACAGGCCAGTAACATTTCATGGTGTCTCAATGTATTGCAGAATGTTTAATCCCCATTGGTCCAATGGATTCCTAGTCCTTCCAGATACATTGCTTCTTGTGTGGAAGGAGCACCCTAAAATGGCTTCCCTTCAATTCCACCCATAGCTGTACTTTAGGTGATGTTGCCCCTCCCCCATATCTGTAAGGGAAAGCCTCAATTTCTCCCAATACTCCCCTGGCCTTCCAGTGAGAAGAAACATTTTCTCTGGAGTGGAGATGTTTTATGCAGTGAGCCCTTCATAGACGGGATGGGGAATCTAAGTAATCTAAGATAAGTAAGATGAACCGGTGTACTGGAGTCATGGATCAGATAACCAATGACACCATTGATGGTATAGCAGAGCTGACAGCAGAAGTGGCTCCATCACCTAAGGTGGTGTCACAGAACTGCATGGCGGCTGACTATCTCTCGGAAGATCAAGGCGGAGTCTAAAAACTGGTGTCAGAGAGTGTTGTACATTTATATTAGATCATGAGGATCTCAGAAGGAGATATCTACACAAGGTAAAGGAGTTCCAACAGTCACCTGGGTGGGGGGAAGTGGGATCCATTTTCTTGGATGGGTTTAGTTGGAACTTGGTTGAGTAATATGGTGGCTTTGCTTCTTAGGCCATTAGTTGCTACTATAGATTTGATGATAATTGTATACATTGTTGCTGTTGTGTTTTGCTGCCAGTTGATTTTGCTTGTTTATGCACATGATTACATTCACATTTTAGAACAGAAGATTATTTAAAACCCCCAAAACTTTTTTTATTTTCTGAAAGCAGAGACCCTGGAGAATAAAATGGTGGTGGTTTTCCCATTTTCTATGTCACAGGATATTAGCACAGCTGTCTATCAAATGCATATTTTCTGTAAAAAAAACCCACTAAAGATAATTTTAGTGCAAAAAACACAATATATGACCAATTTGTTTGATGAAATATAAAGATGAGGTTGGCATCAAGTATATATATAGATACCAAACATGTCAAACTTTAAAAATTGTGCATGTGCTTGTGAAATGGTGACAAACTTCAGTACCAAAAATTGTCCATAGGTGACGCTTTAAAAGCCTTTACAGGTCATCAGTTTATATAGTGAACCATGAATGATGGCCCTAGAGTTATTCCTCTCCCTCTGGTGTGTGCAGAGATATGTACAATGTGTAGTGTGATTGATGTTTTCCTACATAACCGCACCCAACCCTTGCAATTGCTCATGTATACGGGAACTGGGGGCTTTAAAATGTGTTTTTGTGTGTTTTTTTCATTTACAGTGTGTTACTTTACACTTTTCTTTCTCTGAACTTTATTATTGCCATATAGGGGGTTAATAGCCTCGCATGTGATAACATATTGCTGGTCACAGATCCTCTTTAAAGAAACACAAGAGGTCTATCAGACCCCTAATGTCACCTCTGGTCCCCAAAAAAGATGGTCAAGCACAGATCATGTTTGATCAGCTCCTTGAAGACACGAATGTACATCTGCCAAATCTGTATCTGAGTAGACCATAGAAGCAGCATTAGAAAGAAATGTGAGCATGGCTTCAGTCAGGCGATGGTCCTGGTGGTCATGGTCTTGTTCTCCTTCAGGTCCTCTCACCTTGTAGATGGTGACATGGACTTGTGTGGGAATGAGCAGGAGGGGCTCGGGGTTCTCTTGTACCCAATCAGCTTGTTATGGATAAAAGATGAAAGTGTCTTCTGGGAAGTTACAGGGATTTGGATGGAGGAAGTGGCTGTGGGGGATGGAGTTGTAGGAGGAGTGGAGGAGATCGGCTGTTAGGTGAGGGCAGGGTAGGCTTCCCTGAAGAGATGGGTTTTCAGGGTGTGCCTAAAGGTGAGACGGGTAGGTGACAGTCTGATGGATTGGGGTAGTGAGTTCCAGAGGATGGGAGAAGTCCTGTAGTCGGGCGTGGGAGGTGGAGACCAGGGAGCTAGAAAGTAGGTCTTGTGAGGAGCGAAGAGTATGGGTTGGGTGGTATTTGGGTATCAGGTCAGTGAGGTAGTTTGGGGCAGCTTTATGAATGGCTTTGTATGTCTGTGTTAGTAGTTTGAGTTTAATGCGTTGGGCAATCGGGAGCCAGTGGAGGGAATGACAGAGGGGGGGTGGAGGAAGCGGAGCGGTTGGTAAGGTGGATGAGCCTGGCCGCTGAGTTCAGGATAGATTGAAGCGGGGAAAGCCTGTGTGAGGTAGGCCGGTGAGAAGGGAGTTGCAGTAGTCCAGACGTGAGATAATAAGGGAGTGAATGAGTTGTTTAGTAGTGTCTGGGGTTAGGAACGAACGTATTTTGGAGATGTTGCGGAGGTGGAGCCTGCATGAGTTTGCCAATGATTGGACATGGGGTTGGAAGGACAGGTCTGAGTCTAGAGTGACACCTAGAACTTTGGCTTTCAGGGCGGGACTGATGGTGGCGTTTTTGGTCGTGATGGAGAGGGTAAGGGGGGGGCACGGGCTGGGGGGAAAATCAGGATCGCGGTCTTGGAAAGGTTCAATTTGAGGAAATGGAGCGAAATCCAGTCTGATATGTCAATCAGTAGGTGGTGATAGGGGCGGAGACTGAAGGGGTGAGGCGAGGGGTGGAGAGGTAAATTTGTGTGTCATCGGCGTAGAGGTGGTAATTGAAGCCATGGAGTGTATTAGTTTGCTGAGGGAGGAGTTGTAGGTGGAGAAGAGGCCCGAGGACAGAGCCTTGGGGGACCCCAACAGAGAGCGGGAGGTGGCAGTGTTATAGGTAACAGTAAAGGAGCATTGGAATAGATAGGAGGAGAGCCAGGAGAGAGCGGAGTCTCGGATGCCGAGAGAGTGTAGTTTATTAAGGAGGAGGGGGTGGTCGACTGTGTCGAAGGCCACGGAAAGGTCGAGGAGTAAGAGGACTGAGTAGTGGCCATTAGCTTTGGTGGTTAGCAGGTCATTAGTGATTTTGAGTAGGGCGGTTTCGGTGGGGTGTAGGGGACGGAAGCCGGACTGTAGTGGATCGAGGAGGTTATTGTCAGTGAGGTGGGAGCTTAGGCGACTGTAGACTAAGCACCCAAGGAGCTTGGAAGTAAATGGCAGCAGGGAGATGGGTCTAAGGTTGTTCAGGTCGGTGGGGTCCAGGGAGGGTTTTTTGAGTATGGGGGTGATGTGTGCGGAGGGGAATGTGCCCGTAGTAGAGGGGAGAGATTGAAGATGTGGGTGAGGGAGCATAGGATGGAGGAGGAGGGTGACTGGAGTTGTGTGGGGACAGGGTCAAGGGGGGCAAGTGGTGAGGTGGGCTTCTGAGAAGACCTTAGTGACCTCCTCAGTGGTAGCAAGGCTGAAGGAGCGGAGTGTTGGGGAGGTTATAGTGTGCGGGACGTTAGGTGTGGTGGGGGGTAGGGCAGTTGCGAGGTCAGAGGAGGGGAGAGTTGATGGGGTTATAGTGGGAGGGAGGCTAGGTGGCATTGGCTATGTCCTTACGGCTTGTCCTTACGGATTGTCGATCTTATTTTGGAAGTCATTGGCAATCTCGTGGACGGTGAGTGAGGTACTGGGTGGGGGAGGGGGGGGAGAGAGTAGGGAGTTAAAAGTGGAGAAGAGCCGGCGAGGACAGGTGGAGAGGGTGTTGATGAGGGTTACAAAGTAGGCTTGTTTGGTGGCGTGGAGAGAGGAGGAGTAGGTGAGGAAGGCAGATTTGTAGAGGGAGAACGCTTGAGGGGATTTGATTTTGCGCCCTAATCGTTCCAGCGCACAACTGCATCATTTGAGATTTTTAGTTCGGTCGTTCTGCCAGGGTTGAAGCAGTCGGGGTCTAAATGCTACGTGTGGTTAGGGGTGCTAAGGAGTCTAAGGCAGCTGACAGTGAGTCGTTATATGCAGTAGTGGCCAGGTCAGGGCAGGACAGTGGAAGGATACTGTCATACAGACGGTCAGCTGCAGAGTGGGGCCGGGTTCAGGTTGCGGAAGTTACGGCTGGTGATGGTTTGACGTTTTGGGTGGAGGCGTTTATAGGATGGGGAGACGGAGAACGTAAAGAGGTTGTGGTCAGAGAGAGGGAAAGGGGTGTTTTTGAGGTTGTGGAGGGTGCAGAGATGGGAGAAAACGAGGTCCAGGGTGTTCCCATCGGTGTGGGTGGAGGACTGTGTGCACTGTGTGAGTGCAAAAGAAGAGGTTAAGTGGAGGAGTAGGGATGTAGCCTGGTTGTAGACATTAATAGGGATACTGAAGTCTCCAAGGATGAAGGTGGGTAGCTCAGAGGAGAGGAAGAAGGGCAGCCAGGTGGAAAAGTCATCAAGGAAGCGGGATACGGGTCCAGGAGGCCGAGGCCGATAGATTACTGCAATCCTCAGAGGGGTGGGAGAGAAGAGTCAGATGCAGTGGGCCTTGAAGCAGGACAAGGATAGAGAGGGGGGTTTGGTAGGACCTGGAAGGTGGTCTGCGGTGACAAGAGCACGCCGACCCCACCACCTCTACATTTATATGATATAAATGTTATAAATGGATCCTTGAAATGTAAACAATCTATCTCTTTCCTTCTGTTGTTAAAGTGTCACATATATATGATGAATAAAGTTGGATGATATTTTCACCGCACAATACCGTGGTCTGGGTTCTTCTAGAACTTCCCCCCAAAACTGTCCTTTTCCAGTTCTAGGAGTCTGGTGGAATGGGACACAAGCTGATGGTATCTCTTAGGCCCCTTGTACATGGGGGGTCCGGCCCCTGTGGGTGCAATACTGGCATTATAATACACCTGGTAGGCACAGGTACAGCGTCCAGCCCCCTGCTTCCTGCAGCCTGTCAAAGTCTACACTACAGCTGGACGGGGCTCAATGCTGCACCACATTTACCTCGTGTTTAGGGCGCTCTGTGTTCAGGGAGAAATGGCCGCCATCCTGATCACACAAAGCATAGACCAGATGTAGGCCGGTGCAGTCTGCTTCTTCCCCTGTAGGTGGCGTCCGACCAGAGTGACATCCCAGCCTGTAGACGAAGTCGGGGACACTTGACTTCTCTGTGGTTTCCCGGTTCCTGGAGACGGCGTGGAATGAAGGGGTCCATGGAGTCCTGGAGACATTTTTTTTTTTTATTTTTGTTTACACCTTTTAAAAATCATTTTATTTCTGAAGATCACTAAACCCCAAATCTGATGTATTCTTTGATAGCAGACACCCTATATAATACAATGTTGGGAGTTGTCATTTTCTATGTTACATGATATTAGCACAACAGTTTATGAAAGGCAACATTTCAGGAACAATATAGTGACTAGAGATGAGCGAAGAATTCAAAAATTCAATTCGGCTGATTCGGCGAATTCGAGGAATAAATTCGATTCGATGCGAATATATTCGCTGCGAATTTAACTTATAAAAGGGTGTTTCTAGGCTTCAGAGAGCCTTTATATTAGTGCAGAACACTGTACCTTTAATTTAAATGCCCTTGGAGTCTGCTGGGGAAGAGAAATAATACTGTCAGTCAGTATGACATGCAGATGAGTGCCGTCGATCTTAGAATCACCGCACACTTCACTCATTTGGGCAGTCACGGGGCCAAAACCAGAGTGTGGAGCCACAGTGTGGCGGTGGAGGCAGCAGCAATGGGAGGCCATACAGCACCCTATGACAAAATGGAACCCACCAGCAGTGTGAGGAGACCTGAAAGTGGCACATGGCAGAGTGTGGCGATGGAGACAGCAGCAATGGGAGGCCGTACAGGGACCCATGAGACACTCTGGACCTGGCAGCAGCATGAGGAGGCGGTACAGGGGCCCATGACAGATTACGGGCCTGGCAGCAGCATGAGGAGTCGGTACGGGGGGGCCCATGGCAGATTACGGGCCTGGCAGCAGCAATGGGAGGCCGTACAGGGACCCATGACGCACTCTGGACCTGGCAGCAGCATGAGGAGGCGGTACAGGGGCCCATGACAGATTACGGGCCTGGCAGCAGCATGAGGAGTCGGTACGGGGGCCCATGGCAGATTACGGGCCTGGCAGCAGCAATGGGAGGCCCGTAATCTGCCAGCACCCTATGACAAAATGGAACCCACCAGCAGTGTGAGGAGACCTGAAAGTGGCACATGGCAGAGTGTGGCGATGGAGACAGCAGCAATGGGAGGCCGTACAGGGACCCATGACACACTCTGGACCTGGCAGCAGCATGAGGAGGCGGTACAGGGGCCCATGGCAGATTACGGGCCTGGCAGCAGCAATGGGAGGCCCGTAATCTGACAGCACCCTATGACAAAATGGAACCCACCAGCATGTAGTGAGGAGGCTGGTACGGGGGCCCATGGCAGATTGGCCTATGGCAGCAGCAGCAATGAGAGGCCGTAATCTGCCTGCACCCATGATGACAAAATGGAACCCTGGCAGCAGTGTGAGGAGACCTGACAAAATGGAACCCACCAGTGGCACATGGCAGAGTGTGGGGGATGGAGACAGCAGCAATGGGAGGCCGTAGGAACCCCTGCAGCAGTGTCAGGGACCCATGACACACTCTGGGACCTGGCGGCAGCAGCATGAGGAGGAGGTGGTACAGGGGCCCATGGCAGATTACGGGCCTGGCAGCAGCAATGGGAGGCCCATAATCTGCCAGCACCCTATGACAAAATGGAACCCACCAGCAGTGTGAGGAGACCTGAAAGTGGCACATGGCAGAGTGTGGTGGCGATGGAGACAGCAGCAATGGGAGGCCGTACAGGGACCCATGAGACACTCTGGACCTAGCAGCAGCATGAGGTACAGGCGGGGTACTGGGGCCCATGACAGATTACGGGCCTGGCAGCAGCATGAGGAGTCGGTACGGGGGCCCATGGCAAATTACGGGCCTGGCAGCAGCAATGGGAGGCCCGTAATCTGCCAGCACCCTATGACAAAAATGGAACCCACCAGCAGTGTGAGGAGACCTGAAAGTGGCACATGGCAGAGTGTGGCGATGGAGACAGCAGCAATGGGAGGCTGTACAGGGACCCATGAGACACTCTGGACCTGGCAGCAGCATGAGGAGGCGGTACAGGGGCCCATGGCAGGATTACGGGCCTGGCAGCAGCAATGGGAGGCCCGTAATCTGCCAGCACCCTATGACAAAATGCACAAAACCCACCAGCAGTGTGAGGAGACCTGAAAGTGGCACATGGCAGAGTAGTGTTGCCCCAGCGATGGAGACAGCAGCATGGTTGGGAGGCCGTACAGGGACCCATGACACACTATGGACCTGGCAGCAGCAGAGGAGGCGGTACAGGGGCCCATGGCAGAGTGGCGAAGCGTAAGCAGCTTAAATTTGAAGGCCATTACAGAGGCCTATGTTTAAAAATAATAACATTGTTTGGGGCATGATTCATGGCGGATTTAGTCAGTTGTGTCAGGTTAAAAATAAAACTGGTGGTTTGAAATCCAGAACTAATCCACGCCTGATTCATTTTCACAAACGTGAGTCTCTCCACACTTTGGGTGGACAGTCGTGTCCTCCGCGGAGTTACAATACCTCCTGCCGCACTAAACACGCGCTCCGATGCCACGCTACTGGCCGGGCATGACAGCCTTTCAAGGGCAAATTCAGCTAGTTGGGGCCAAAGGTCAAGTTTTTCGTTGCCCAGTAGTCAAGGGGATTGTCTACCTCGGTTGGCAGGGTGCTGTCCAAGTAGGCCCAAGCCTGTTGTTTGAGGTCCCTGCTCCAGGTCCACCTGATGCTGCTGATGCTGCGGCTGGTTAATTAGTTTCCTCACTGCGCTGGTGAAGAAAGCTACTCATCATCGACTGCAGACTGAGGCAGCCGCTGCTGGTGGAGCTGCCACTGCATTTCTACCCACCCCACCCCTCCCCTGCTGCCATGGCAGCGGAAAGCGAACGCGAGCGCACAGGGCCCACAGTGTCTGAGGATGGACGTTGGCGCACAAAGGCAGAGACCAACTGACTACATAGGTGGTTTTTATAGTACGTTATTTTGGCCTCCCTCTCAGCAGTGTGTGAAAAAGGCCACCATTTTGGAACGGTAGCGAGGGGTCCCAACAAGGTGGACAGCCAAAAGTCATCCCTCTGTCTGATGGTTATTATTCGGCTGTCGCTACGCAAGCAACCGAGCATGCTATGGGCCATTTGTGCCAAGGAATGCGAGGGACTCCCTGCCTCCATCTCCACAGCATTACTGCCACGGTGCGTCTGGGTCCTCTGTCTCCTCCTCCTCCTCTACCAGATGCTCCTGCTCCTCCACTCCTGTCCCGCTGAGTGGAAAAACCACCCATTTCACTCAATAATTCCTGAGCACCAATGTCCTCCTCTAAGCCCTCCCCTCTTCTTCCTGTCCTGCCCCCACAGGGGTCATGTGGCGTTGAATCTGTGCGCCACGTCTACCGCACCCTGACCAGCCATTGTTAACAGCATTTTGTTCCAGGACGTGCAACAGAGGAATGACGTCGTTCATCCCAAAGTCCTGCCGACTCACGAATAGCGTGGCCTCCTCAAAGGGCCTGAGCAAGCGGCAGGTGTCACACATGAGCTGCCAATGGCTGACATCTAAGTTACACAGGGGAGTACCTTTATCCGCTTGTAACATCAGGAAATCTGTGATGGCCTTTCGCTGTTCGTAAAGGCGGTCTAACATATGTAGGGTTGAATTCCACCTTGTTGCAACGTCGCAGATCAGGCGATGCTGTGGAATTCCGTTCCTCTATGCTGCTGCAGCTCAAGGAGGGTGTGCTTTGCGGTGTAGGAATGGCTGAAATTGCATGCAAAGTTTACGTGACATTTTAAGGATGTCTTGCAGTGGGATGGTGGATTTTAGGAACCGCTTGACAACCAGATTGAACACGTGTTGAGCCATGGCATGGCGCATGGCAACAACCTTCCTTGACGCAGAGCAGACACCATGTTCTTTCCGTTGTCGGTCAACATGGTTCCGATTTTCAGTTTGCGCGGAGACAGCCATCTGTCGATTTCTCTGTTCATTACACTCAGAAGGTTCCTCCCCTGTGTGACTACGTTCGCCAAGGCATACCAGGTGCAGCACAGCGTGACACCGTTGCGCCCTGCACATGTGATATGCCGGTCGGGTAATGGGACTTGGCACGGGGGTGGAGGCTGAGGACACGGCGGAAGAAGAGGTGGTAGAGGCGGACATCTTTGCTGGACCAAGGACGTGCAAACGTGGAGGCAAAAGCGGCGTGACCTGTCCAAGTTGCTGGTGCGGCTGTGCCGGCACCACGTTCACCCAGTGGGCCGTAAATGACATGTACTGTCCCTGACCGTAGTTACAGCTCCACACGTCGGCGCTGCCGTGCACTTTGGCAGAGACCGACATGCTCAAAGACTGGCCCACCATCTCTTCTACATGTGAATGCAGGGCTGGCACTGCCTTTTTTTGGTGAAGAAATGCCGGCTTGGCACTCTCCACCGCGGCGCGGCACAAGCCATCATTTCTCGGAAAGGTGCCGAGTCCACCACTTGGAAAGGGAGGGACTGCAGCACCAGCAACTTGGACAGGAGGACGTTCAGCTTTTGCACCGTCGGGTGCGTGCTCGCAAGCTGTTGTCTCTTGGAAACGGATTCCAAGAAAGACTGCTGACGGAATCCGTGAAGAGGAGTAGCAAGAGAAGGAGCATCTGAATGAGCGGAAGATGCCAACGAGCGACAACTCCCCTCAGCAGAGGTGTTTGGAGCCTTGACTGGCTGATAGAGGGCGATTGACGTCGGGTGACGGAGCAAGTAACGGAGTGGGGTGATGGAGCGGGGGCTGGGGCAGGCAGAACCGCCGTATCTTTTATCACGGTTTTTCCCAGGCCACCGAATGGCGACGCTGCATATGCTGACGCAACGCTGTAGTCCCAACATGGGCCCCCTGGCCACGCTTGACTTTCTGGCCACATAGTCGACATACGGCTACGTTTACTTCCTCGGGCGGGCTTGACGAAAATTGCCACACCGCCGAGTAGGAAACTTTGCCCCCGATACTCCTCACTGGCTGACTGCTACTTCCTCCGTGCACACCGGCACCACTACTGGCCGTGTGGTAGGCTGCAGTGGAGCTGGTGCTCTACTCCGTGGGCCGTTTGCCTCCACTGACACTGCTGCGACCCTGCTGCCTCCTGGGCAACCCACCGACTGTTTTGCTCGCTGCCAAGCTGGCACCCTCTTCTCCTGATGATGCGGAAGCAATAGCCTGATGACGACGAGGCTGCCAAGTGCAATCAGCCTCATCATCATCAATTAGGGTCTCCGCCTCACTACTAGCCCCCTCGGCTGCGTGTGGGTCAGGAGACAGACCTGTCTCTAGGACCGGCTACCGAGCCACTCTCCTCGCCACTACTTCTTCGCCTGGCTGCTGAAGAGGCGGATGTCTCCCCCCGTTCCTGTCCGCCCTCTGTTAGCTCTTCCTCACTGTACAGTGGGGCTGAGAGCCCACAGCATGCGATACTTCGCTTGGTGAGGGAACACCAAAGGACAGGGGCAGGTAGAGGACACGTGGTTTCAGTGGGCTTGGTCCCGGGCCATGCCAACTAACGGTTGTGTCTGACGTACCCACCGACCGTTGGCTGTAGGTGTCAGAGGTGACCTGGGAAGAGGAAGACGACCGAGCCAACCAATCGATGACGGCAGGGTTGTCGGTGGAGACACGACCCCGCTGGATGACACCGGGAGCACTGGCCTCTGGCTGCGACTAGTGCTGCCTTGACCCCTTCCTCTGCTGCCACACTGCTCGCTCCTGAAACATTGCCTCCTCTGCCACTCCTCTGCGTGTTGTCTGACATACTCTTTAATTCAACAATTCTGTGTCCCTGAGTAACAGTTCTGTGTCCTGAGTAACAATTCTGTGTCCCTCAGTAACAATTCTGTGTCCCTCAGTAACAGTTCTGTGTCCCTCAGTAACAATTCTGTGTCCCTCAGTAACAATTCTGTGTCTGTCCCTGAGTAACAGTTCTGTGTCCCTGA